GCACTTTGACATCCATCTGTCCCTTACCAGTAATGTCATCTTGACCCTCTGGCCATGATGTCTGGATTCTCCCCTGTGTGGTTACTATATTTCCCTGGGAACCAATAAGCAATTAGTGAGAGACACTGAGACCATGCAAATAGTCTGCCCCTCATCAAACTTCCTTCTCTCGATTTCTGCATCCATTGGTAATTCTCGCCTTAACTAATCTTTACCGAAAGGTTGTGCTTCCCTCCACATTTATCGGTCAGCATTCGCCTGGACAGTGGGGCCCTCTCTGCTCCATTGATGTATCTATCTGTCTATCAGTATAGACTTACAGAGTTCCATTTTGTTCCATGGTTATAATCCATGACCATCCTCAACTATTTTGATGCTCTCATTGTATCTGATTAGATTGTTTTTTGTCGCCCTGGAGGAAAGAACTAGTACTTGTACGGAGATACCACCAAGGGGGTAGATTTCAACCTAATAAAAGAGCTTTTGAAGGATTCCAATTCTCCATGTTAGATCTAGTTTCCTGAGCAGGTAGTAAGCTGCCCATCATAGTATTTAACAGAGTTTATTAACTGCATACATGCATCAGGTTGGGGCTTCTAAAGGTCCCTTCCTAAATTTAGAGCTAAGAGTTGCAGCAGAGTCCTGGAAAGGAAGAAGGTATGACATACAGTTTAGAAGAATGTTCAGAAGAATATCGAATGCTGAGAAGGGGAAACCTCCAGGCCACCTGTTGGAAAAATTCGACCCAGACTTGCAGAAGCAGGGGCTGCAGTGCATAAAATTCTCATCCCTAATCCTTGCTAAATGCTGTGAACCCAGAAAAGAAGATGACGCAGACCCAGGGCCAGGACAGCAGCCAGTGGAATGATAGAGGTCCCTCCAGCCTCTCCTGCAGGGCTGCTGGCCTGAAGGGTCGCCTGGTCACGGGCACTCACTTGAGCCTCTGACGCCTACTTCAGTAGCTCCAGGCCCAGAGGAGTAACTGTCTAGCAATGCTGATGTCATCTGAGTAGATTCAGGGAAACAACCTCCTGAGTAACAGGAAGAACCATGCTGGCTTACATTTCTGTAGCACTATGTTTACTGAATTCACGACATACATACTACCATCCACCACTTCTGGGCCCCCGACAGACATCACTAATCTATCATGACACACTGACACTGCTACCAAAGCCTCATCACCCTTCTCCACCAACCTTTCTAGGCAGCACCTACCAGTTGCTATCCAGGAACACTTCACAGTTTTTAAACATATTTCATATTTGATACCTACCTGGCATTTCATAAAACTGCCACAAAAGCAGACAAAGCAGGCATGGCTGTGCCCATTGTGAAGAAGGGGAAACAGAGATAGCAGAAGTTAAGTGACTTTTCGGAGGTCCCACAGTGGGGAGGGATGGAGCCGGGATGAGGGCAAGGCCTCTGGGCACGGTCCTCTCCCACTTTCTGTCTTTCTGTCTGTGCTGAAAGCAGAGAGGACTCCTGGTAGAAACACTCTGCATGGCCCAAGACTCAGTCAGAGTTGGTCCATTACATGATGTGACCCTGCTGAGATGGGGAACCAAACCCAGTTCAGGTGCAAGTCATCTCTTACAGGCAGGCCTTTCCAAGAAGATGCTACTCCTTGCAAGGTCACAAGCCTTGCACACTTGCCTCCAGTCCCAGGAAGGAGCAGAATGCTGGCCACAGTCAGTGCTCCATGACTGCCTACTGAACTGAAGGGAAGAGAGGAAGAGCCTTGTACTGGGTTCAGTGTTTCTGGATTAACAGGGGGGTATAATGCCGCCAAGCACAGAACAGAATTTTCTGAAGCAGACTCACCCAGCTTAGATTCCCCTTGCACACTAGTGATGTGATATTGGGCTACTGGCTCATGGACCTCAGTTTCTGCATCTGTAAAATGGGGAGAATACTGCCTACTTCATAGAGATGTAGAGGAAATTAAATGAGAGAAACATTCAAAAGAGCTTGGTAGGAGTGATGATAAAGGGGAGGAGGAAGAGGATGAAAAGAAGAAAGGAGTGTGGCAGATCCAAGAATCCTCTCACCTAAGTTTAAACCCTTGTACAATACTCTCCTGTTGAGTGTGGTGGGACCAAGGGTTTATTTTTAACCATCAGGATATGGCAAAGGTGATAGGATGGTACATTATATAAGGTTCTTTCTCCCAACAAAAACCTTTTTTCTCTTGCTGATACTGAAGAAGTTGACTAAAGTGGCCATGTTGGAAGACCCATATGGCCAGAAGCTGAGAGGGGCTTCTAGGAGCTGAGAGGGGCCTACAGTGAACAACCAGCAAGAAGTCGGGACTCACCTCCTATACCTGCAAGGAGATAAATTCCACCAACTCTCTGAGTGACCTGGACCTCTCCCTGTTCAAGCCTCCAGATGAGAACGCAACCCTGGCCGACACCTGGACTACAACCTTGCACAGGCGCCCCGCTAAGTCACGCCTGCACCCCCAGTACATAGTCACTGCGAGATCATAGATATTCATTGTGTTAAGCTGCTAAGTTTGTGGCAATTCGTTTACAGTAACAGAAACTAATCCAGGGAGGAGAGGAAAAAGGAGAGACGGAAAAGGAGGACCAATGGAAGCTAGTCTGAAGAACCCCATCTCAGGACAGCAGGGAAGCTTCTTTCGCCTTGAGTGGCAGCCACAGTCTGAAAGTTTTAGCTAAGGGCCGACATGCCTGTGTTTTCAGGCACAGCCCCCACAGATGTGAGCAGAGTTACAACTAAACAAGGCTACTTCTCACACTTGAAGGGTACGCAACTTTCCCAACAATACAACACCCAAGGGGCTGTCCTTTCTCTGTGCCTTCTCTCTTGGCATGAGTTGGCCGTTGCCAGCAACAACACTCAGCCTAATGCCATATATCTGACCTCCTGCCTTCTCGGTCTGCTGAGCTCCCGGGCAGGACCCCTGGGCACATCCCTTAAAGCCCAAGGCAAAGCTGCCCTCCTGGACCAACCCTCTCCTCCCAGCACATGGCCATGGCATTAACGACCCCACCACCCCGTTCCCTTCCCCTAGTGCTAAAACCAGAACCAGCCCTCTCCAGAGTCTGATCCTTTGACTTCTCAAGCCCAATTAGAGTTGGCAGGATGAAACCAACCTCATGTTGCTTTTTAAAATCTTTTTATTTTTTGGAAATATTTCCAGAGGAATCCACACAAAAGGTACCAACAGAGAAGGGGCAAGAATGAGAGAATGTGAGAGCCAGAAAGACAGCAGGAGGTCTGAAGGGGGGCAGAGAGCCCGTCCCAAACCACCAGCATATTCTTCTAGCCTTGGCCAAAGTCTTTCTTTTCAGACGATCAAGATTAGATTGCTATGTGGGTGATCTTATCAGGAAAAGGGAGCTGGTACCCACACTCCCAGAGCACCAGCCAAATAAATTCTCAACATACGGGACAGGAATATCGTATTTCTCTTAGAGATTACAGTGTTCCATTCCCCTTGCTCTACTCGACCCTGCCTGGGTCTCCACGGTGACTCATCCATCCCCGGTGTAAAATCTGCTCTTACCCACAACCTGGATGATCTGAGCCAGGAGGACACCGTCCGTCACATCTTGCTGGAGATCCTTGATGAGACGTTTGTGGCCTGATTTGGCTAGATAGTGATTGGCCCAGTCCGTGTAGATCTGCAAAAGAGCAAAGAAGCAACTTTAGGAAGCCAGTCGGACCCCATCTGGTCTGAGGCAGCTGCTTGGGCCTGTGCAGCAGCCCCCGTCCCGCGGGTGAGCTGTCTGGGGCCAGCCAGCGCCATTAACATTCAGGGCATTGTGCCGAGGGGGCATTCAGCAGCCATAGCTGGGCTTTCGCCTATTGAGAGATCTGCCGTCAAGGCTCAGGGAAAAGCTAAAGAAAGCTTCAAAACACGCAGAGGCCTGAATGGGCCAGGGGACACGGAACTAAACAGTCTGCGCCAGACGCTTTGAGAGGCTGAGGCTCTAAATGCAAGTGAGGCCTCCCCCACCCCACCGCCGCCACCCCGCCCCGTCCAATCTTTTTCTCTTTATTGAGAAAACGTATGGGGAGGTTACCACCCAATAGGCATCTTTTAATGGGCCATTTCTGGGTATGAAGGGCTATTGAGTTAACCGAGTTCTCAGGAGCCTGGGTCCCTTGTAAAAAAAAAAGCCAAGTACGAAAACACAGAGCCCCTCAATTACTCTTGTGTGAGTGGAGTTACTGATGGCCTCGCAGTAATCTCAAATTTAATCGGTGTAATTGAAAAGCCAGGCATCATGTTCACTGTTGGGATTTTGTGAACAAAACCCAGCAAATTCCAACATATCTGAATGCAGCATTGGTGTACACCGCACCCCGAAAGGCAGAGACTGGGTCGCCCATGAGATCAGGAGCGCAGACCCCTTGGCGGCCATACACAGACCTGCTCCTCTCGGTCACACAATCAGCACAAAAGGATGTTTTCTTCCAAACAGGCCAACAAGCATGAAAAAGCTCTCATTGAAAACTTTCCTAACTGACATAAGCCAAATGCAAACACAATTTAAAACCTCCTTACCAATTTTGAGCGCTAAGCTCCTTGCATGGATTTCTGAGCTAATGGAGGGACATGTAGACCACATTTATCAGCACTTTTTCTCCCCCAGAGTGGTACAAGCAAATGACTACTCAAAAAAGATAACTATCCTACCTCAACTGGGCATTTATTAGCACCAACAGTTCACAGACTAACCCATATGGTGTCTGCATCCAAATGATAAAGGTTATCATGGTATCTCCAGCAGCCGGCCTGTAGACCTCCTGTGACTAAAGAGCAGCGGGAGCCCTGCCCTCACCGGGACTCTCGCCCTCCATTCTATTCTTCAGAACATCCTGCCCAGAGTAATCTCACACAATGGGGCCCTCCTTGCCTCTCAGGGCCCTGGGATGGGGTCTGTCGGTCAGGGCCTGATCTTGCAAAGCAGACAGGGGGCACCTCTGACTATCCACCTGGGACAGTGAGGGTATCATCCCCAAAAGGGAAAGGCAGGACTGTACTTTCTATCTCCTCAAGACCTGAGGACAGATTAGCCCTGCCCACCCCACCCCCTCCCGGAAGCCCAGTCTTCCAGTGCAGAGACCCACAAATGCACTGTGCACTGCAGTGTGGTGCTATTTCACACCTGGGACCACCCTTAAATCCTCCTTACTTTCCTTCCCTGTGACTTCCAAGTTGCCAGAGATTAAACATCTAATAGAGCAAAAGATCATTTTCAACTTTGTAAGCACTGAGAAAGCTAAGGAAATGGTGTGCCATCTTGGTCATCACAGTGGCCAATCTGAAAAGTCAAGGATCATTAAATGAAATTGTTAACAGGGCAAGAGGGAGGGAGAAAAACATTGAAAGGCAAAGGGCCAGACCTGTGTCCAAGTCATGCAGGTAGCTGGTACACCAGGGAGAACTTTTAATGTTGCACAGCAGTCAGAAATGGCTCTGCCAAAGAAATGAATCTCTCTACCTCAAGCTGTTTAAAACAAGAGCTCTTCTTCTCTGAGCTTTAATCCACCGGCACACCGCTGCCAACTTAATCTCCCAGAGCATAGCTCTCATCTGACCGCCTGCTCAAAAGATCATCAATGACTCCCCACTTCCCACTGAATTAAAGTTCTCAGCGATCACACTGAGATTCAAGGACGTCGTATTATCCCCTGCTCTTCCCCAGACCATGTCTGACCCTTTTGCAGAGGAGGCAGTGCGTGTGGAAGTTAAGCGCATGGGTTTTAGAATCGACCAAGTCAAGTAGGCCCCTGGCTCTGGGCAAATGAATTTCTATTAGCTTTGCTGAGACCTCAGTTTTCTCCTCCATACAATGGAGATTATGCCAAATATATTAGAAACAGGGAGTGGCACATTGGGAGCGGGCCAAACCCAGCTGACATGTGTTTATAAACAAAGTTCTACTGGTACGGTCACACCATGTGTTGTCCATGGCTACTTTCACGCTACAATGCAGAATTGAGTAGTGGTGACAGAGAGACCTTTTGGCCCACAAAGCCTCAAATATTTACTATCCAGCTGTTTACAGAAAAAAATAAAATTGCCACTCACTCTGTGTTACAGCGACTGAAGGAGATATGTCTACACATACCAAGTGCTCAGTGGTAATGATTATGCTGACCCTTAGGAAAATGACAAACCTCACACTTCCCAGTCTCCAAATGCATGCCGGCCCTCACCCTAGTGCCTCCACCTAGGGCCACCCTGCAAGGCCCAACCCAATGCCAGTCCCCAGCCTCCCTCCCATGAAGCCCCTCGTGATTCCCTGATTGCATCCCGAGCTGCATATGATGCAGAGTGTAGAGAACTTGAACACTGGAACCACCTTCGCACCCTCACCATCATATTTTGGCAGAGACTGTGTCTTGCCCATCATTGCTGCCTCACAGGGAGGGGGCACACCGCAGCAGGTCGGTGAGTGGGTGAGTGATTGCCCCGTTGAGCTGAACAGAAAGAAAAAAGGGCAAATCCTTGGGAAACTGATTACATTTGAGACTTAAATAATGTGTTCTCGCAGTGAATCCTCAAACCATGATCTCAAGTCTCTTTATCGATTGAAAAGAGCAAGGAAGAGAGAAAATAAATCACTCTATAGCTCAGGCTCATTAATCAGGATCCATCCCCAAGAATCATTAATTATCTGGAGTTTCCCCTCCCCTCCCTCGTCTCCAGCTCTCAACTTTTTGCATAAGTGAGTCACAAGAAAACACCCAGGTTTATTTTAAAAACCAGTTTCACAGGCCATGCTAAGAAGCCCTGACATGAGTCAGCCCCATCTACGTCACTAGCTGTCTCAGTAGTTCATGCAGTGAATACCATTCTCCCAAGGGGCACCCTTGGAAAATAAACCCACAATATCCCCAGGCATCAAAACAGACTCCCCCGGGGGATTGCACAACTCAGCAAAAATGGAGCTGGGTACGCGTGAAAGACTTGAGGCAGCGGCTAAGCTAAAGCATGCAGGCTTCCTGTCTAAGCCTCAGACACTCAGAATCCGCTTCTCCAGAGCCCTCTCTTCCCCAGAGTTCTGGAGCCTTGAGGGCTGCTATTACTTTAACCCTGAGTCCACTGATCCTTGATCTGTGAACGTTCAGAAGAAATGAACAGCAAAAAGAACCACACAAGAAGAAAGAACAAAACCACCGTCCCCACCCCCAGCTCCAAAGAAACGAGTCTAGAGAAAAGCTCCAGAATCATTTCACCCTAGCATCTGAGGCGTCTTTTCCATTGCTTTCCCACTCTGATCCCTCCACCTGCCTGAGCTTAGCTCTCTCTCTACACCCCCAGGCTGCTGTCAAAGGCTCAAAGAAATAAAAGGGGGAAGGTGATGGCAGCTGAAGAGTGACTTTGTTTTGATTCACTTATTACCCCTGACAGAATTTCAAGGAGCATGCCAGTCATTTGTTTGCTTATAATGCCACATCCTTCCATATCACGCAGGCTGAAATCAAAGAGGGGAAATTTTGACAGATCGACTGAAGTAAAGAACCTGATTATTAGCTGTAACAAGAAAACATAATAATCGCACTGTGTTAAACCAATGAGGATAATAAGTTTATACTGCAATTAGCCTTCAAGTGAAGTGTGTGTGTGTGTGGGGGGGGGGTGGGGGGGAAGGGGTGACATTCTAAGTAAGGAACCCAAGAAAAATGCCACAAAACAAATGCACCTATGGATTCAACTATAAATCCAGACCCATATGCCGGACAGCCTGGTGGGGCCGGAAGGCAGTGTAGCATTAGGATAGTGGCTCCGGGAGAAGGGTGAAATGTATCTCTTGGAAAGAAATGCCATTGTGAAGAGAAAGTGAGCCAGTCATTCAGCATCAGAGGTGCTTTCCGGTCGAGCAGTTGTAAAGAGAACACTACTGTTTGGCCTCCATTCAAGAGGTCTCGCTCTAACTATGGCCACGTCATCAACATACTGTTTCCATGACTGAGCAGTATGTGATTAAATGGTTTAGATCTGCTTGTTCTGAAGTACAAAAATAATACTGCAACAATAGAATAGAGTGTATACCCAGAACCTGAATACCACTAAGAGTGATTATCTAATTATTCACAATTTTATGAAAATCAAAATGCACCATTTGTTATCAAGGGTAAAGCTGGTAACACATTCACATCTGCATCCCCAGCATCTAGCAAGGAGTGTGCTACCTACCCGACAGGTGCAGCCACATAACCTTTAAACTGCATGGGGTGGTGGGCGGGGCCAGAAATTAGCTGGTGGCTTTTCCCCTGCTCCCTGGTCTCTCAGAAGAGTCCCATTCTGCCCGATGTCCTTGGTGCCACCACATGCCCACCCAGAGGGCAATGACTCTCCTTCCATCCCACCTTTGCCATCTCCCGATGCATGACTTCAGTCATTTGTGCTTTTTCATAAATCCCAGTAGTCATAAGGGCAGTGTATTTGGAGTCTTGGGAGCTGGTGTGGACAAGGACTGAGATCTGGCTCTGCCTCTTACCAGCTGCGGGAGTCATGTTCTGGCTGGGGGTTGGGGTCGCTCACTTGTGTGACAGTGATGAACAGGGTTGTTTTATGGATTAAATGAGAGCATATGTGTCTGGCACACAGGGTTAAATAAATGGTGCTTATTCATATGCCAATTAATAAACTCTAGGCTATCTAAAT